CCTGACTTCAAGTTCTACTACATAGCTATGGTACTGGCAAAAGGACATGCCCATACATCAATGGACCAGAATAGAAAGCCCAAATATAAACCCATGTATATATGGTCAATCAGTATGTGGTAAAGGAACCTTGACTATACAGTGGGGAAAATACAGCCTCTTCAACAACTGGTGTTAGGAAAACTGGACAGCTACATGCAAAAGAATGAAACTGGATTACTGTCTAACTCCAAACACAAAAATACACTTGAAATGGATTAAAGACCCAAATACGGGACATGAAATCATAAAATTTTTAGATAGGCAAAAATCTCTTGAACAAAAGCATGAGCAGTTTTTTCCTGGACACATCTACTTAAGCAAAGGAATCAAAATCAACATGAACAAGTGGGACTGTATCAAACTAAAAATCTTCTGTATAGCAAAGGACACCAAAAACAGAACAAAAGGCAACCTAGAGTATAAGAGAATGTATTTATGAATGATTTATACAATAAGGGGTTACCGTACAAAATTTATAAAGAACTCAAATGACTCAACACCAAAAAAAATAGAAATAAAAATTTAAAAATGGGTGGAACAGACATTATTACAAAGAAGAAATAAAGATGGCCAACAGGAAAAGATGCTACACATCACTATCCATCAGGGAAATGCAAATAAAAACCACAATGAGATATTGCATCACACCAGTCGGAATAGCCACTATCCAAAAGAAAAGAACTAACAAGTGTTGGCAAGAATGCAGAGAAAAGGGAAACCTCCTACACTGCTGGTGGGAAGGTAAACTGGTGCAGCCACTATGAAAAGTAGTATAGATATTCCTCAAAAATTCAAATTAGGAATTCAAATTAGGAATACCATGCACCCAATAATTCCACTTCTACGAATTTACCTTAAGAAAGCAAAATCCTGATTTGAAAAGATATATGCACCTTTATGTTTATTGCTGCATTATTTACAATAGCTAAGATATGGAAGCAATCAAATTATCAACAGATAAATAGATAAAGAAGAGGTGGTACATATACACATTAGAGTATTATTCAGCCATAGAAAAGAAAGAAATCCTGCCATTTATGACAACATGGATGCACTTGCAGGGTATTAGGTTAAGTAAATAAGCCAGGTGGAGAAAGAAAAATATCATATGATTTCACTTATTTGTGAAATCTAAAAACAAAACAAAACAAAATGAACAGAATAGCAGTAGTCTCATAGACACTGAGAAGTGACTGGTGGTTTCCGAAAGGGTTGAGGTGGGTGAGCAGGGAGAGTGAGAGGAATAAAGGGGAACAAAAATTCTCAATCATAGTATAAGTTGGTCACAGGGATGGAAGTGCGGCATGGAGCATATAGGCAGTGACTCTGTAACATCTTCCTATGTTGACAGATAGTAAAGGTTCTAGTTGGAGTGAGGATTTAATAATGCGTGTAACTGTTTAACCACTGTGTTGTATACTTGAAACCAATATAAGAGTGTGTATCAACTATACAACTATACATACTTCAATGAAAAAAAGAACTAAAGAAAACCACATCTAAGGAACTGAAGGAGAGTTCTACTTCCAGAATGGCAATGTGAAGAGTTCCATGAGCCTGCTCCTGGCAAAACTGGTAAAAATTATTTAAAGAAAAATCAAAGGCTCACCCTAGGGACACATAACAAATAAACATTTATTCCAGAAAATCTACTAAAACTCAGTAAGGCCAGCAAGTCTGTCACATTTAAACCATGACCCTTTTTCTCTTAGCCCAGAGTGACATAAATTCCATGCCAAGGGTTTGAAGCCACAGGGCTCCCTCCCCACAGGCTACCAGTTGAAGGCTATAGTATCTTTCTGGGAGAAGTAGGATGTCTGCATTTCTAATACCCCCTCCCCTCAGCTACTGGGTACAAAGGCTAAATAACACTGAGTGTGGCCTAGAGGCTGGGGGGCCCCTTCCCACTGCCCAGCTCCCATTCAGGGGCTCATCTTGTGCAAGGCACACTGAGAATATTGAGTTCCCAAATATCTACCGTGTACCCTGCTCCTAAACCAGCAGTCATGAAGAGAGAAACACACCTTTGTCCTAACTCCTAGTTTCAAGTGTTGGCTCAGGGATTTTTGTTCAGGGAAAGAGACAGAACATAAAACTGAAAGCTCAGATAGTCTCCCCAAAGGAATTAATTGCAGAGCATGGATACGTTGAAGACTAAGAGCACTCAGAAATAACAGAAGTTTTGTGGGAAGCAAATAAGAGTGCGGTAGCTTCCTTTGACACATAAACTAAACAGCCCAACTAGTTTGCCATGGAGAACCACAAAGAGACACAGCCAAGAAAAACCCTCTGGACGTCAGAATAAACCTAAAACACTAACCTCAAAATAGACCTCTGCTAATAAGCTGGAACTTAATTGGGTCCAGGTTGTGGAGCAACTTAAGCCCTTGGGCATTGTTGGAAAAAACAGGGCAACCCACCAGCAGTTAGGGAAGCAACTAACAGAGAGGTGTAACAAAGGAAAGAGACAAAGAGGACCTTGGGAAGACTTCACTCAGCCCAGGGTGATTGTACAAAGCTGTACCCTCTAAGAAGCCACATGTGTCCAAAGCTTCACCTTCTAAGAAACAACACTGAGGCTTTTCACAGCACAGGGGGAAATAAACCTCACTAAAATACTCCAGACAATCACAAGACAAACAAGCAAGCATGCTACCACAAACCCCAGAGCAGGAGGGGACCAGTACTCAGAGTTGATACGATATATTATATAAAAGGTCTGGCTTTCAACATGAAATTGTGAAACATTCAAAAAATCAAAAAGTGTGACCAATACAGAAACTGCCTATAAGAGCAACTAGATTATGGATTTAACAAAGATATCAGAGTAGCCAATATAAATATGTTTAAATAACTAAAGGAAACAAGGCTTAAATAAGGAATGTAAAGGAAGGTATAATTACAATGTCTCATCAAGTAGACAATGTCAATGAAGTGATAGAAAATTTTTAAAGTGCTAAATGGAAATTCTGAAATTAATAATGTAACAACTAAAATGAATGATTCACTGGGTGCGGGGGGTCAACAGCAGATTTGAACTTGCGGAAGTAAAGAATTTGAAAACAGACTGATGTAGAAAGATGGTGCCATCTGAAGAACAGAGAGAAAAACAAAGTGAAGAAAAAGGAACAGAAACTCAGAGAAATGTGGGAGATTATTAAGTATACTGACATATGTATGTTCAATGGGACAGTAGAAGAGAGAGAAAGGAACAGAAAAAATATTGAAGCAATAATAGCTGAAGACTTGCCAAATTTGATGAAAAACACTGTACAGATCCAGGAAGCTTAACAAACTCCAATGAACAAATGCCAAGAGATATACACAGAGATATCTAGTAAAAATGCTAAAAGTCAAAGACAAGAAGAAAATCTTAAAAACCGCAAGAGAAAACTGACTTACCACTTAGAAGGGAAACTCAGTAAGATTAATAGTTGACTTCTCATCAGAAACAATGGAAGAGAACACATTCAATGGAAAAAGCGTCAACCAATAATCGTATATCCAGCCAAATTATCTTTCAAAGAACAAAAGCAAAATGAAGAAATTTCCACATAAATTAAAAAATAAGAAAATTTGTTAGTAGAAGACATAGGACACAAGTACTCTTGGGGGTGGTGATGGATACATTCAGTATCTTGATTGTGTAAAATAAAATGAAATTTTTATGCTCCCCATGGTGATCTTACAGGCCAGGAGAGCTATGCAAGCTGTAGAGGCCTTAAGTCAGCCAGAACAACTCACGTTCTGCTGTGAAGATGCCGTACAGCCATTCTTTCTGAGTAAGAAAGATTAGCACAGCCCTCACTCATGGCTGAGAAGAGAAATGGCCTTGAATGTTCAAAGACAACAAACTGAATGGGGGCCTGCTTCTCATGTCCTTAGTAGAATTCTGTAGGAGAATGAGTAACAATTCTAAACCTTTCCTCCTTTCACACATAGACAGCATCAGAATATACACAGTTTATTCTTTTAGGAGACTAACCAAATATATCCTTGACACACTGCTTGACCTACAGATTAATGCAAACCCTTTCCTACACATATCCCCTGCTATAAAATGCATGTAAGCTTTCTCCAAAGAGCTACTGAGCATTCACTTAGAACTCTCATGATCTGGGTCATGGTCCTCAGTAAGATTCTCAGTAATCTCTTTCTTAATATAATAGTCATATTGATTTCAACCAACAATTGTGATGATGGTTTATGGGGCATATACCTGTTAAACTTACGAAATGGTGCACTTTAAGTATGTGTTTGAAGGGAATCAGAATATGCCTCCACAAAATGTCACTTTGGTATAAAGATTATTTTAAGTTCAAGACATACAAGATTCAACAGATGCAGAAAAAGTCTTTTCTGAGTTCAATTATCTGACTAAAAGCAACAAGATCTGGGAAATAAGACTGCCATAAATTCTTCTTCTGGGTGCAACTACTCTCAGAAAGGAAGAATGGGAACAAAGGTGATCCCAAATCCTTTCTCCAGGGGAGTTTTATGGCCCTGAAGATGGAAAGACCACTCATACTAGTAGACAAATATTATCATAAATTATCTTATCTATTTGTTCTCCTGAAACCCATTTTTCTTTCCAAAAAGTCATTTATTTTCCCATAAGTGCCCTTTCTCCCTCTCCCTATTACCTGGTAAGCTAGGTATATGAACTCAAATTCTAACCACCCCTCTGAGTTACTTATCAGTTTCCCCCACATGCATGTGCATCACACATACCAATAAATTCTGTTTTCCTTTCTCCTGTGAATCCTTCTTTTGCCAGTTTAATTTCTGGGGCCCCAGCTACTAAATCTATATAGATACAGAAAAAAGGTTTTTCCCCTTTACATGGTGTTTATCATATATCAATTATTCAGAAACAGAGCTGTCTTTTTAAAGTGTTCAGTTGTGCTTTATGGTGTTTTTCCAATACTGCCAAAATGAGTTAAAACAACAAGAATTACCATAGTTTCAATGATGATGGTGAGGTTACCTAAGCCATCAGTAAGAGCTACGTAGCTTCCTCCTTTCTCTAAATGGCCAACTGTCTTCAGGTAATACCACCCTGGTTGAGTAAACTGAGTGGTGTGAGCTATAGAAAAGCAGAGAAAGACCCAATAAGATAAAAATGGTAATAGGGTTTCTTCAAAAAAAAAAAGCTGACTACTGATCTTGAGTCTAATTACTGATTTGAGCCTAATTGAGTCTAACAAACTATTTTCTATTTTGGAGGAAATACCAATCTCATGTTACAATGTTTGAATTAGTCCAGTCAAACATGATTATTGTGGGAAGATTCTTAGAATGACTGGTAAAAATATATGAACCACATTCTGTCAGTTTAAGAACACTGTCTTTTTTTTCTAAAAGTAAAATAAAGTTATCCTCTCCCAATCCTTTTCTTCATCTCTATTTAACCCATCCCCCCAAAAGAATGTTTAAAAAAGTTAATAATGCATTTCAAAAACTAAGCTTTATGGTTTCAAAGTTTATTATATTTACTGGATACTTCCAAAGCTGGCCCTGAATATGTACTGAACAATATTCCATGTCCCCACTCCACTCCGCAAAAACAGTGAAAAAAATCAGAAGAGTAAATTAGTTCATCTATATCATGTGGGACCAATGATTTCAACATTTCAACTTATTAGTTATCCAGTGAGGATATACAAGTCCAACTTAAATTTCATATTTTTGGGAGGACGATTAAGGGATATTGGAATAATGTCTCCACTATACGACTAATATCATGACTACAAATCTCTCTGAGGAAAAAGACAAACTCAAAAAGAAAATCACCAAAATAAAGGTTAAAAATGGAAACAAATTCACTTCAGATTCATGATTTTCCTATGAAAGCATTCAACCTTTGAAGAAATTGGGTTTCTTTTAAGATCACACTTACAATGTGAAAACAAAACTGTCCTAAATGCTTAATTTATTTATTAAAATATTATATAAAGAACTTGAATATTCTTCAACAGGACTTTTATTTTGTTTAAATTACATTAATTATTAGTATGGTTATATCCCCCTTCGTGAAAAAGTGATACCCTGCCATCTGTTGTCTGCATGATCTCTACTTCCGTTGCAACAACTAATGAATGATACCATAAAAAGAGTTTTGTATTTCAGTGGAAAAGGCACATTATCTATTGCCCTGTTTGTTGTCATTAAACCATTTTGAAACATGTAAGCTGTAGATAACTATACATGTAAATATACAGATAATATGTATATGTAAATTATATCCTGCCTGGTAAAGATTTCATTCATTTCCTCCCTTCTCTGCTGTGATTGATTCCCTTCCTTCCTTGCCTACCTTCCCTCCCTTTCAGTCTGTCTCCATCTGCAATTCACCTCAAATTCCTTTAATCCAAGTAAATTAGTACTGTTTTTACTTTTCCTTTGAATTAGTTGTTCATCTGCCTGGTTCCTTCATATCATATAAGTAATATAAAATCTTTAACATGTGCTCATTTTTGTGTGTGTGTAAGAGCCATGATTTTACCTTTTTCTAAAAATTAATCTCTAACAACACTCATCAGTAGATTTTGAGCACACTCTAAGCCATATCTCACATAACTTTTACATTGACTTCATTTAATAATTCAATAAATACAATATTTGTTAATCACCTAACATTTGTCAATCATCTACCTTTGATTTTGTTAGCACACTATCCTAATCATCAAAAGTATAATATAAATGAATAAAGTATCACCAAGACTAATTTTAAAACTTTTAGATATTCTGAGTTGTACGCAGTTTTACTTACACATCATTTTATTAGCAATTGTCATAATTTGTAATTACATATTTAGATGATTATTTCTGTCCGTCACTAGATTAATCTCTGTCCCTCTCCTCCTCCCCCTTTGCCTTACTTTTCTAACAGCCTAGTCTTAGAATAATCAAGAATGGAAAAAGTCATCTAGTTACCTAAAAGATCCTTAAAAATATCCACTATGGCAAATCTTGCTTACAACAGAAACACACACTTAAGTATGCACACATGCACACACACATATGGAGTTTTAATAAACCCTGCCAGTGTTTTCTGTTTTGTCTCAGAGAGAAATGTAGGAAGTGAGAGAAGGAATCAGAACCATACCTGATACCCAGATAGGAGATTCTACTACATAGTGTCCACTCCATGGCTCCTGAGCAGTCATTAATCCACATCGCCCATAAGGCAACTGTTCATAGTAACTAGCCACCAAATTCCAGGCAATTGTGCTAAAAGATTTGATAAAAGAGAAACACCAAAACAGCTTGTGATAAAAATATGAATGCCTACAAGCCTCTAGGAAAAAGAGCTTATCAGAATTTATATAAATGCATGTAAATGACTAAAAAATGATCACCCAAAACAAAAAAATATTAAGTCATAAGTTCATTGACATTTTGAAAAATCCAGTACTAGATGCGTCTAAATATTTTTAATGATGAATCACATAATTTAAAAACACCAGTGTTTATGGGATGTACAATTTTTACTGAACAGTGGTGTAGCCAGAAGATGAATCATGCCCTACCTATACCAAACATGTCACACATTTGAGTCAAATACAAATAAACTCTTTGCCCACACCTGCTTTCCTTTTGAGTCAGCCTCCTTAATGCCCCAGTTTCATGACATAATTTTAGGAACTTGACTCTGAGCTGCTGCAGTTTTATATTTGATAACTCTTATAGAGTCAGACTGCCTGGGTTCAGATCATGGTACACTTAACCTCTCTGGACCTCAGTTTCTTCATTTGTAAAATGAGGATAATAATTATACCCAACTCGTGTGATTACTGTCAGAATTAAATGTACTAATGCATATGAAGAATACAGAACAAGATCTGGGCTGTAGTACTGCCATGATTCTGCTCCACCTATAGGTACTAGTTGGGTCAGCTTGTTGATCTGTATTTTGACCCATTCTTTCACATGTCCACAGCTGGTGCTGAACCCCAAGATTGTGACTCTATAGTTCTCAGGAAAATCCAAGAGCAAAAGGGAAGCACTGGATCCTGGTACTGCTGGGTTCCTCACAGTTGAAAAAAAAAACCAGAGCTTACCTACAGAATTTTATTTGTCTTATGAGGTCCTCATCCATCATGAAATGACAGACTGACATTCCTAGAAAATCAAACCTTCAATTCTAATTTCAGAGTAGAAATAATAGACCCATTTTTCAAAAATACCTTCTACCAGTGGAAATTTTAAGAGTTCTCATGATTTTATCTATGGATTACAAGATTCATGGTATCTTCTCTGGCTGCTGATAGAAGTATAAATTAAAACCAACTGAGAGTATTTTGTAAGATATACAAAAGCCTTCAAAATCTATTTACCTCTGACCCAGACATTCATTCCATTTCTAAGAATACACCCTAAGGAAATAATCACAGATGCATCAAAGATATTTGTATACAATTGATCATTTTAGTGTGTACAAAGCTGTTAATTAAAATAGACACAAGCTCCATTTCTAGGAAGAGAATATTCAGTTAGGTGTGACACAATCTCCACATCAGTGCTTCCCAAACTTGTGTGGCATCCGAATCACTTGGGGCACTGACTGGGTCCCCAGAGTCCCAGGGCCTGTCCTGGAGATTCGAATTCAGTCAGTCAGGGCAGCTGCCAAGGAATCAGCACGAGTGTCTCGGGGGCTTCTGAGGACAAGGCAAGTTTGGGAAATGATGCTTTATGTAACAAAACACACATATCCATTAAAGATGATGAAGTGGAGGATACTTAAATATGAGAAAAAATCTGTAATTCCTTGTTAAATGAAAAGCAACTTATTTATAAAACATTATGTAGTATGGCTTCAATGTTGTATGAAAATTTTATACATATAAATATTAACAGGAGGACATACACCAAAATTTTTAAGGACAGTTATTTCCAGAGGGTAAATATATGGGTGACTTTGTCTCCATCTTTGTCCTTATATGCAATTACCATATTCTCTGTAAGGCATGCATTACCCTTAATACAAAATTAAACTACTGGAACCAAATTCCCCATGATAAGCATCTTTTCTTTCAAAAGAAGAGAAAGAGCGAAGGCTGTAGAAGAATATATGAGCTTACCCCAATAGCACAAAGTACACACTGGCTTGCTTTTGTTCCATCTACCATTGTTTTGGAAAGCTATTTTGAATCAAATTACAATTAAAGCTTCTCACTGCATTTAAGAAATGCTTCCTTAAGAAATAAAAAGAGTTGTGTTCTCTCATAACAGTCTCTGTTTTGTAAACAGACAGTTACACAAATTAAATAATTCTATGAGGAAGCAATCAGGCAGACTGACAAATGAATAATTCACAAGAGAACTTGCCTGGTCTTTTCAAATGGTTACTGTCAGAATGAGGAAATAAGGAAACTATTCTAGATTAGAAGAGATTTTAGGGGCATGACATCTAAATGAAATGCAAGATGCTTGAATGGTTCTTAGCTTTAACAAAAAAAGCTTTAAATGACATTTCTGGAGATAATTAGAAAAACTTGAATATAGACTAGCTATTAAAAATATTTTTTAATGTTCTTATGCTTTCATGTGTCAAAATGACAAAACGATCACATAGAAGAACATCCTTATGTTTTAGAGCTACTTACTAAAAATTAAGGGTGAAGTGTCGTATCTGTAATCCATACTTCTTGATTAAAATGTGTAGAGCTTGTCAAAAATCATAGAACTGCATGAATTTTACTAATATAAATTACATCTCACTAAGCCTGATTTTATTCAATACAGACTATATTCAAATACAGAATAATAGGAAGAAATAGCTGTAAAGCTGGAGGCTCCAGGGGAAGCGGTGAGCCTGCTGGACAAGCTCAGGCCTCACCAAACAAGGCGAAGAGACCAACAGGTTCCGGTCTGACAACATTCCTAACTAGAGCCCTCCCCCAAGCTAGAAGAGTAGTGGTAACTTTCCAGTACCTGGCTAAAGGCCAATGAGAGACCCCCAAGTACCCTAGGTGAGCCAATCCCCGCGCCACTGTACACATTTGCTCTCCCTCCCCCTGCCTTCTTTAAAAACTCAGCTGCCTGCCCTGCTGGGTGTGACTTCCCCAGCCTGTGATAACGTCACCTGGGAATTGTGCTCAAATAAACTGCCTGGCCCTTTGTTGCCTCTCATCGCCTGCTTATTTCGGTTAGAATTTATCTTACAATAGCTTAGGTATAGATGAAGCTGTAAGGCAAAGCATTTACAATCACTGAATTGAGTTTGTGAGAATATGGAAACCCACTGTACTTGTTTCTACTTAGGTGTTTTGCAATTTTTCAGAAGAGAATGCTTTAGAAGTTTTAGTAACTTACGAAGTCATGTAGCCATTGATATAATTCTGATTCAATATGCGACCCCAGCAGCCTGCACCCACATCATTATTTAAAGTGCTAAAATCTTCAGAAGACCAAAGTTTCTTCCCAGTCAACGTCGCACCAGTTACTGTACAAGTCCCAGGATAATGAGCTCTAGGAAAGAAAAGGCAGAAGGAAATGGGAAAAGGTCAGAATGTGGCACTTATTTCTATTTGTTGAGTGAATGAAAATACATGTCTTCTCCAGAGTTTTTTATTTTACAACAATGGGCGACTTCCCAAATGATGTGCGAATGATTATAAGCATCTGCTTCTCGTCCTTGTATCTCAGGATGCCCTTGAAATAAGATAAACCTATAACAACATATAGAATGGGAAGGAAGACTATCAATGGGTGAGAAATTTCTGTCTGTTTCTGGAAACCATTAAGTGGACGGAAGTGTGCTGACAGCTGGAGGAAGCAGAGGAGGCCACAGCCTGGAACTCTCGAAGAGATGAATGAGGTAGGGACAGGATTCAGAGTTCCCAGGGTAAGTAGAGAGCTGGGAACAAGAGGAAGGAAGGAGTAAAAAGGAAGCCAAAAATGAGACTGATGAATCAATTATATAAAGTAGCACCTCCTCTTCTACCCCCGCCCCTAGCAGAAAGAAAGACAGCCTGGCATTTACCTCGGACAAACACAAACAAAAACAAAACAACAAAACCCACAAGTAGTTCTTTCTTGAAAATAGAAGAATAAACTACTTGGGAAGACTACAAGTTATTATCCCAGAGCAATGGTGGTTCTCAACCTGGATGATTCTGCCTGGAGAAGAAGCCAGGGAAGGACAGGATTTGCTACTAGCTTCTAGTGAGTAGAGGCCAGAGATGCTACTAAACATCCCACAATTCACAGGGCAGGTCTCCACAACAAAGAATTAATTATCCAGTGAAAATATCAAAGTGCAGAGGTTGAGAAACCCTGCCCCAGGGGAATAAACCTCTCCCTTATTCTAGCATGAGAGAGGAGTCAAAGTATATTTTTTACTCCAGTAGTAAAATGCTGCCATCATGATTGAGGAAACAACTGATTATTCAATAAAAACGATTAAGAAATTTCAAATGTAACAGAAAACAGACTGAAAGTTAATATGGTAAAAAGAGAGCAGATAGCCACATAACTTTAGGGACAATGCACATTGTTCTTTTTAGGTCAACAATTATTTACAAAAAAATGTGCAAGCAGAATAACGGAGACTGGATTGTACCACAATTCTAATATTTGTAGTTTGGTGTGGTAGTAGTCATTACATTAAAAGAGAGATTGTGGAGAACTGTTCCAATTTTTAGTTACTTAATACCACTTAGGTCATGAATCTTTTAAGAAAAAGTCCTATTTAGGAATTCATTATACCTAGTTGAAGATAAATTAAGGGGCAATGTCAATTTGGAATTCAGGACTTGATGAAGAAAAAATATATAACATATAAAAATATAAAAAGGAATATTAGAGAAAAATGAGGTTCCACCAAGACTTTGTTGAGTCACTGAACTCAGTTGAAAGCAGACACCTATTCAGTATTATAAATATACACCAGAGAAGCCAGGAGCAAGCTATTACCCAAAAGGGTTAGGAAACTACTGTTCTGAAACAGCAGCAGATTCACAGACCCCAAGAAGGGACTAGTGGTTACCAAAGGGGAGAGATATGGGAGGGCGGGTGGGGAGGGAGGGAGAAGGGGACTGAGGGGTATTATGATTAGTACACATGGTGTGGGGGTCATGGGGAGAACAGTGTAGCACAAAGAAGGCAAACAGTGAATGTGTGGCATCTTACTACACTGATGGACAGCGACTGCAATGGCATATGGGGGGGACTCGATAATATGGGTGAATGTAGTAACCACATTGTTTTTTCATGTGAAACCTTTATAAGAGTGTATATCAATACCTTAATAAAAAAATAAAAATAAAAATAAATTATTGCTCTGGCACTATTAAATCCAACTTGAAAAATCTGACTATTCATCTTTATAATAGAATTTTAATAAAGTTTTACATTTTACATCTATTCTCATATCCTGGAACTTCATTCAGTGACCATGATATTCAGCTTTGATGCCTCAGCCAAATACTAATTTTAAGACTCCTCTACTTGTCACTCAGCCAAAGGTATGTTTGGTGTATCTCTGGTTAAATATAATTGGATAAAAGAATAAAAGCCTGAAAACTAGTATGCTATTATGTTACAAATGATCCCTAGATGTTAGGATTATGGGTAAATTGTAACTCTAGCTTTACAGTTTTCTACATTTTCAAAACTGTCTATCATGAGCATTTTTATAATGTGAATGAGTGTCCCTTTTAAAGTTATAGAGGTAGGTTTTATATCTTTCATTCAGAAAACACCATCACTATTATGTTACATTTAAAACCTGAGTGATTAAATGATCTGAAAACAGGAGAGTAGAGCCAATACTAAAATCTCTGCCAATGTCCAGACCCACTGCTAGTTGAACGACATGTCAAGGTTCTTCAGAATATAATTTTTTAAATGTATATAATGAAGCAAATGCCTCTATCATTTCACAGCATTTTTCAAACTTCAAATAACAAAGAAAATTAAAATCACTGAAAGTAAACCAAAGTTTATCTTAACAGAGGAACATATTTGTATTAAAAGAAAATTAAAACTTATAGAGAAGGTGGATTCATGGTGGCACCCCAGTTTCTGAAACTCTCAGTACTCCTCTGAAAGCAAACGGATCAACCAGATGAAGGAAAGAAAAAAGCCCACAGACAATATCCTCATCCAAAGCAGGTGACAGGGAATCCCCAGGAGCCCTGCAGCATCAGGACTGGCCCAGGACCAGCAGACAAATATGGAAACTGTGGAAGAGAAAGGGTCTCACCCCCCAAAGGGCAGACCCCCACCCTGAGCGGAGGCATCAAAAAACAACTGGTAAACTGGGAATGTCAGCACAAGCTTGACTTTAGGGTGAATGCCAAAACTGAGTTCACTAGCAGCTCCAACACAATACTGTGATAGTTTAAGCCAGATTTGTCCAATAGAAATATGATGTGAGCCATACATGTAATTTTAAATTTTCTAGTAGCTACATTTAAAAAAAATAAAAAATAAAATTTAATGATACTTTGTTCAACCCACTGTATGCAAAATATTATCATTCACTATGCAATCAATATAAAAAATTATTAATAACATTTTACATTCTTTCTTATATTAAATCTTTAAAACCTAGTGTCTGTTTATACTTAAAACACACCTAAATCCAGAATAGCTACATGTGGCTAGTGGCTACTGTATTGAACAATACAGGCCTAAACCTTCAATAATTTCAGAAATAGGTAGCAAAAAATCCTTTCTGGAATGGTAGAGAGTAAGATGCTTGGATGAGAATCCAAACTGAGTAAGGCAGGAACATGTAAGACAGCTTTAGACAACAGGGGAAATGGGGACTAGACAGAGCAGACCCCAAGAAGTACTGTAACGGCAAAACAAAAATTTGCAAACATAAGTGTCTGACCACAAGAAACTAAGGGTGACTTCAGCAAAACACTTACAGGTGTGCATTGCATATGCTTAATGTACAGCTAGACTAAAAGAGTAATTTATTAGCATATAAATATTGCATGTTCTGATAATGTATTAAGCTGACACAAAATAAGAGAAGGAAGAAAAAAGTGAAATGTAAACTGCATTTGCCAACTGGCTGGGAGGATATCAAAATAGCAGGGCCTAAGCTCATTAAGAGTATAAATACTCGATCAGAGGAAAAGATGGCAGCATGAGTAGGGTGGCAGAAATCTCCTCCTAAAACCATATATTTGTAAATGTAAATCTTCCTATTTTGCTCATAAATTCTTTCCTCTAGGGGGATACCAGAGGCGTCCTCTAATATTATAAGCAACATTAAGGGGGGCCCTGGGCAGTGGGGACTATTAATCTCTCTTTATTACTTTGCTGTTTCATGTAAGTTTCTTGGGAGAATGGGTTTTTCCATGGCCCATAACTCCTTCTCTGCCAATATTCTAAAGAAATCCTGGTTAGTCATGTTTGAATTGTTACAAAAGGAAGGACAAACTGCATCTAGTTTGAAGAGAGGCCTGGGCTGTCCTGCCTCACTTATCTGCGGCAGTCTGCCTGGAACAGTTGGTCCCATAACACTGCTTTCATTTCCGGAATTGCTGCTTTGATCAAAACTTTGGGTTATGTTATTTACTAAAGGGGAATCAATCTTAGATACATAAGATTTCCCATATGTGAGCCCAATCACCAACATCATAACTGCAAAAATAAGTGCAAGAATTAGCAGGGGCCAGCTATGAGGTTTCCTGGCTTTCGGGATTCCGCCTCGTGCCTGGACCTTGTCAAACAGCATGAGCAGCATGGCCCGCACCATCTCCCCCTTTTTTATTTTTTGCAGCTGATTGAAGCATCTTCAGTTCCAAATGGGTTGTTCATATTCCTTTGCTCAGCAGTCAGATGAAGACTGGGAAAAGGAGTAGAAGGGAGGGTATACTTAATGCTGAAATTCTGAGATTTATGAAAGAGGGAAACCAAGAAGTATGGGTAGTGAAATGTCTCAGGGTAGCCAGGAAAGAATTAGCAACTTCAGGAGCCATGGCTGAGGATACGTGAGCTTCACTAATAGCCCTTATCTTTTCTTGTAAACTGGCCATATCTACAGAGGTATTAGAATTATCCCAAATTCCTAATAAATGATTTTTCACACTGTCCCAAGAAGTTTTGGTGGAATTATATAAGTAGGGAGTCACACAAATCCATTTATACTGACTGTGACATTTGGTGGTCAAGCCAGTTTTCAAATTTTGGACTTGGTTTCCTACATACAGCAGGGTTTCTTCTAGAACATTAAGACATGCCTCAGTCTTTTTATCAATCTGTTCTTGTAAATATAAAGGTACTGAAACATTTCTGCTTAAAGTGTCTACGTGGTTGGCTTTGTGGATTTCTTGTACTAAAGCAGTAGTGGATAATGAGCTAATGAGTGTAATTAATGCAGTGATTCCTATTATTAAGGCAGCTACAAATCACTTTGGGTGGCTTAAAGCATGATCAATGAACTGGAGAACCTGTATTCCTGGGTCATCATAGCAGGGTTCTTTCAAAACTACAAGAAGAATAACATA